GTTAGAAAGTTAACAACCAAATATTAATATGTCCTATATTATTCAATTGATACACAATTGTTAGTACAACAATTCTCGCTCAATATTCAATAACCAATATTTGTTTATATTTGTATAAACATTTATTGTTTAATATTTGAAAATWAACCATTAACAATTATTGGGAAAATATTTATAATGGCCAATTGTTTACTGGGATTTTCCCTTAGAAAATTCGAAATCACGCGTATCGTGTATTCGCATTTTAAACTTTGTTTGACGCATTCCCCACGGGCCGGCGGATGAAAAGTCAAGCCCGAAGACGGGGTTCGGATCGAACGTTTTTTTCMGCTTCAATCCTCTASTTCCCTACGACTGACCGTCCCAGACGGTCTGTACGATTGCGATGTCCAACATTCGTGGTGCTGGTACGATCGGTCTTAAAATTTAACTGGATAATGATCTCGACAAAATAAACGTAAATGACGTCATGTGCCGAAGCTCTGCGACCATTATTTAAGAAGTTAGAGCGGTAACAAATAGTTCGAGCGCTAGTCGTTCGAATCCATCAGTACCGTGCAGGCGGCCCGGGGACAGCCAGGACTTTCAGAAATTTACCGTGCACACCTCAATACCTACTTTCTCGACGAAATAGACCGTTTCAAACGGTCAGGATCGCGTCTCGAACCGGGATTGAATGGTTCGCGCTTATCACCGGCTTGAGCGGTTGATAAGAGACCGTCCCCGGCGGTCTAAACTGCAGAGAATTTTCGGCTTGACGCGGTTATCGTTCGGGGACCGTGGTTTAACGTGGATGTCCGATCGTCGGGGACGAGCGCGTGGTTTCGATAATCGGCGGACCTAAGGATATTCGCCAGGAAAGACCGCCCGGGACGGTCTGTTTCGAGAGAAGTGCCGGGTTGACGGCGAGTATTYATCCTATCCGGACGCCRTCTTCGGGCTTGGCTTTCTCTCGTCCGGAACCGTCTGATGACTGTGTTTCCGCGTGCCAATTTATTATATTTTTTTTTAAATTATATTTTCCAAACGTTGGGAGTTCTCTATCAAGATTCGAAAATTTTGCTGCCCGAACCTCATATAGCTATATAGAAGAATTGGGGTGCTGAACAATTATAAAACGCTTAAAAAACCKAATAAAAAAGCGAAACTCACAAGCGTAAACGTTTGACGCGCGCCTGGCATAAATACGCACTCATGAAAGCGGCCCTTTATACGCTTACAAAAAACTACTTAAAAAAAAATTTAAAAAACTATACTGTTGATAAAGMGGTGCTGCATAATAATAAAACGCTTAAAAAACCSAATAAAAAAGCGAAACGCACGAGCGTAAACGTTTGACGCGCGCCTGGCATAAATACGCACTCATGAAAGCGGCCCTTTATATGCTTAAAAAAAYGACTTAAACCCTAGAGTGCTTATTCGTTTATTTTAGCGGTTTATTATTCATTAGCACCTCCCTTACAACCATATAGCGTTTTTAAATTTTCTTTTAGCGTGTTTTCAAGTAATTTTTTTCGGTATTTTGATATCGCTGTAATACAGTGCGCTGCCCACCGCATGTTCCACCCCTGCACTCACCCCCTAGCTTTCTAATTCGCTTTTTTAAGTTATATTATTGCAGCACCCCTCTTACGACTGCGTAGCGTTTTTATTTTTTTCAGCGTTTATTCCAGGTTTTTTACGCATATTATGGCACCTGTTTTTTTGGCACGTTTGTACACCTCAGTACGCGTATTACCCCGCGGGCTTTATGTTCACATTCACCCCTAAGGCGTTTGTCTTTAAGGGGGCCACTCTTTTCCCCATAGTTAAAATGTTATATGATTTCCCTGGTCTCGAGGACGACTAATTTACAACTCCAATTGAACCTTGTACCGATGCACAATTGTAAATGTTCACGCAATAATATTTCTCACTGTTCCTACTTTACATAATTTTCTTTGCAATGATGTGGCAAATAATTAATCAGCATTATCTTTATGGCGTCACGCAAAGAACGCTGACGTTCGATCCCAGGACGAAAACATCATTTTTATGTATTTTTATGTTTCATAATAAAATTAATAATTATTTGCCACATCATTGCAAAAGAAATTATGTAATATTATAGGGACTGTGATGAATGTTTCATACTTGGTGATTACTCTCTACCCTTAAGTGTTTTATAATATTTATATATTAATTTATATATTTTT